TCATGTGAGTCCATTTGTGAAAATACAATTTCTACTATCTCGTAGCTTCCTTCTTTACAAGATTGTTATGTTTCTAATTAATTTTGTATCTATCTTAACAGAAATTTAAGTGGGAATAATCTCAATGGCACTATTCCTCAAGCCATTTTACAAAAGAAAGGACTAAAGTTAAAGTAATTATTTATCATACTGTTTATATAAAACCACTTGATATGTTCAATATCGTAACTAACACTACTGGTAACCCATAGTCTTGAAGGAAACTCAGATCTTACTTGTCCGGATGGACTATGTGTAAACAAAACTGGAAATGGTGGTTCCAAGAAAACGAATGTTGTAGTACCGGCTGTTGCATCTGTTGCGTTCCTGGCTGTTCTTGGATCTGCATTGGCTTTCTTTCTTGTTTTCAAAAAGAAAAAGACCTCAAACATTGAAGGTAGACACACAAAAAGCTTTACGACTGAAATAAACATTGCAATATATATTCATAAAACATATATGAAAAGTCATTTGAGTGATGCATTGTAACATTAGGTCCATCATCATATACGCAAGTATCAGATGATAGAACGACCAGATCTTCAGAACCGGCTATAATGACGAAAAACAAAAGATTTACTTACTCAGAGGTGGTAACAATGACAAATAACTTTGAAAGAGTTCTTGGTAAAGGAGGATTTGGAATGGTATATCATGGAATTGTAAATGATACTGAACAAGTAGCCGTTAAAATGCTCTCACACTCCTCTTCTCAAGGGTATAAAGAATTCAAAGCAGAGGTACATTTTAGCAAAGTTTTTATGAAGAAACGTAAAAACACTAATATGCTTAAGGGATCCAAATTTAGATCGTACGGTTATTTTAATTTTCTAGGTGGAACTTCTCCTCAGAGTCCACCACAAAAATCTGGTTGGACTCGTTGGATACTGTGATGAAGGTGAAAATTTGGCTCTCATTTATGAGTATATGGCTAACGGAGACCTAAGAGAACATATGTCAGGTAAGTATATTGAATATTTACAAAGATCATATTTGTTTATGGTATTTTCACATATTTATATATTGGTTCAAATGTAGGAAAACGAGGTGGATCTATTCTGAATTGGGAAACTAGGATAAAAATAGTTTCCGAATCTGCACAAGGTTTGATATAAGTTGGAGATATAGTTACTTATTTTCTTGTTTTTACTTTTTAAACGTTAGTGCAAATGAATCTTGTTGCTAGGGTTGGAATACTTGCATAATGGATGCAAACCACCAATGGTTCATAGGGATGTCAAAACCACAAATATATTGTTGAATGAACATTTTCAAGCCAAATTAGCTGATTTTGGGCTTTCGAGATCTTTTCCGATCGAAGGAGAAACTCATGTGTCAACAGTTGTTGCTGGAACTCCTGGTTACCTTGATCCAGAGTAAGTTTTAAGAGGTCTTTAATTACTGATATTTTCAAAATCAATACAAAAATCAGTTCTCTGTTTGCATCATCTGTAACCTAATTAATGTATCCCATTTTTTGTCCTCTCGTCTAATGGTATAAATTAACTATTTTGCAGATATTATCGAACAAATTGGTTGAACGAAAAGAGCGATGTTTATAGCTTTGGAATTGTACTATTAGAGATCCTCACAAATCAACCTGTGATAAATCAAAGTCGTGAAAAACCACATATAGCAGAATGGGTTGGGTTAATGCTTACAAAAGGAGATATCAAAAACATTATGGATCCAAAACTCTATGGAGATTATGACTCTGGTTCTGTTTGGAGAGCAGTTGAACTAGCAATGTCATGTGTAAATCCTTCTTCAGCTAGAAGACCAACCATGTCTCAAGTAATTATCGAGTTAAACGAATGTTTGGCATATGAAAACTCAAGGGGAGGAACGAGTCAAAATATGTACTCACAGAGTTCTATAGAAGTGAGTATGAACTTTGATATTGGAACTACCCCTGGACCTCGCTAAACTGAAAAGCTATATCTTTTGTCCCGTTGAGTGGATTTTCTTTGCTAAAATAAATATAACCTTTTGCAATGAACTTCTGATTTGGTGGACGACTTTCTGTCTTTATTATATGTTATTTATTGTAATCAAGATTATTTAAAAGACTTTGATATCAATTTCTGAAGAAGTATTTTATTGAGACTGCCAAAAAATTATGTCTTCTTTATTATTTTAATAATTTGTAACTTTGCAGGCTACTATTAACTTTTATGTCTTTTTAGGTATTATAATTTGTTATTTTGTAAGCTACTATTAAACATTAAATTTATATGTTTTCTTACATCACTATTGCCAAAGATCAAATAATTTAGGATTTCTAAATTATATTATGTTTTAAGTACTATCAACATGCAAATAATAACATACAGATTTATAGCACAATTTCAAATATAACACATTTTAACAATAACATTGGACATAAGTTCAATAACATTGGACACAAGTTCAACATATCAGACATAAGTTCAACATAAACTAAAAAAAGTTAACCAACACTAGAAAATATGAACATATCATGTTCAAACAAAATTATAAGATCAGACTTTCAAGAAGTGTACTCTGATTAGATACAAGCATAAAGAAAATAAACAATATCGTTAATCCATCTGTATAAAACATTTAAGTTATACAATTCATTATGAAGCTCCATAATTGACAATTACACATGAATAAACAAAAAAAATTATTAAAATTTGCAGAAAAATTTAATTTATTTAAATTGACAAGGAAGAATTCTCCAAAAGTCTCATGGAGGAGACTTCTCAAGAAATCTGATTTCATTAACTACAAACATAAAGAAACAAGACAACTGTTAATATAATTACCATAATACATTAAGTTATAAAATTCATTTAGAAGCACCATAATTAATAAATACACTTGAATGGACAAGAAATCTTAAAAATTCATTTTGAACTTGAAAAAAATGAAAATTATTTCTCAAGAAGTATGCCCAAGAAGACTTCAAATGTAGTAATAAATTTCTCAAACAGATTTCCCCACAAGTACTCTCTTTTAGGTTATTTTGTAATTACATTTTAACAAATGAAAACTTCTGAAGACATATTCAGTGAGTAAACTTCTGAAGAAGTGAAGACGATTATCACTGAGAGGCAAATGGATTCTCGGCCAACAACTTCTCCTCCTCTCTTACTTAGAAGGCTTCCAGACCTCGTGCTGCTAAAGTTCATTGGACGAACCTTATTTGGTTTAGTCCCAAAGCACTCGTTCAATTTGAATAGGGCCGTCTACACTCTTTCTATGTACTTGGAGTGAGCTCTTGTCTTGGATTAGAGGACCACACTCATCGCCTCTCATCATCCTTCATAGGCTCACTTCCCAGGCTACTGTTTTTCATCTGTGGAAGCAGCCAATGGCCACGTTAAGAATAATGGACTCATCTGACACTTAATAATTGTTAAATGGCACTGGTACGATTGGTTAGAAAGCTTATCACTGAACCCTCAAACCCGAGTTCAAACCCTTTAATGACTCTTTTTATTATTGTTTTTGTATTTTGACAAAATTTTGCTAACACTATAACTCATATAAAAAGTTTTCTAAGTCCCCCCTTAGAAGCAGCGCAATTACGTCATTCATAACCAAATCTCATTCTACATAACACAGTTATTATGGTTAGACCTGGTCCACTCATAACCAAATCTCATTTTACATAACAGAGTTATTATGGTCAAGCCTAGCCCACATCATAGGCAAAGAAAATCATTAGGGCCCAAAATTTTTTGTGGCCCTTTTAGGCTTACAATAAAAAAAAAAATTATAAAAGAAAAATGCCCATTTTTGTATTCGAATGAGGCCTAAGGTAGGTATGAGTCGACCCTGATTATGGTTTACCGATAAACATATCCAGACTATAATTACTCCCAAGAAGAAAAGAAAGCACTTTAGCTCCCTTATGTTGCTTTGGCTCACTCAGATAAAGAACCTCTTTAGTCTTTTTACTCTAATTTTCACTTTTTTGCCATGGTGGTGCTGTAAATATTTTGTAAATAACTCTTTCATTAACCTTTTAGCAAAAAAAATCATAAAGTGAAATTAACTCTCACACGGTTACACGCATGCACCACTATCACTCAAACAGAATTATTGAACACATATACTACAAGGGGGGCCCAACAAAACCTTAGTATTAGAAGATTAGTGGGCTCAGGCCCATATGACTAGCACGCTCTTTTTTTGCTCGGCAAAATTCGACAAACTACACGCGTTTCGGCGCGTGGAAAAGTATGGCCCTTTGGTTATCCGCAAAAAATCTTTTTCTTCGGTCTGGCTAAACCGAGAAATAGGCACATTCCAACCGAACACGCTTCATCTCTTCCACTTTTGTGTCAGATGATTGCGATCAGAAACAGATATTTCGCTAAAACTAATCCCAAATTAAGAAAGTTACTGGAGGTGACAAGAGTTTAAGTTAGCCACGAGAGTGGGAGAAATTAAAATACATGTGGCTTGTGTTGTGTAAAGAGACCGAGTCACCCAAACATCATCTCCCTCACGCCACTCTCCTACCACTCGGACTTAACCAACTAAAACCCGCCACGTCATCGAAAACTATAGTTCCCGTGAGTTAAGGATCTTTACTTGTAGGAACCAGACATGACCGCGGAGTCACACACACACACACACACCAAACTTTCAGAGTTTTTGTCGCCTCATATGGATATCATTGTGGGGCGACACAAACAAAATATCTTCTATTGCTTCTTCTTCTTCTTCTCTTCTTGATCATTTATCATAAGATTTGTTTAGCTCCCCATCTATATAGAAAAAAAAAGGAAGAAACCATTCTGGATTTTTCTAAGAATTTTCTAATTTGGATTGAGCTTGTTTGATCTTGACAGTATTAATTTTGGCACTTGATTTCAGAAGGTATCAATTGTTTTTCTCATTAATTTTCTAATTTTTCTTCTTTTCGAGTTTACTTGTAGAAGAAGTAATTAAAAGGGTTTGTTGTGAGATTAGGGAGAAGAAGAAAAATGGGAGGACTGAAAGATGAGGCGAAAAGGATAACAATTCCTCCCTTGTTCCCAAGAGTTAATGTGAATGATAATGGAAGGGGAGGCTTGTCTCAACCATTTGATGGCAAATCAATGTCTCTCCATAAACGTTCTCCGACCAACAAGATCTCTGATTCTCCTTCCACTCTGTCTCTTCCTCCTCCAGCCAACAACGCCTGTCCTGTGAGTTCTCTGCTCCTTAATTCACTTTAGGTTCTTGATTTTTTGTTTTCAGTTACATACTCTTAGGTGGGATCAAAATAGAATATAGACAATGCAGACTTTGAATATAACTATGTGACCTGTTTTCAAATACTTTTGTGTGTTTTAAACAGACTGATCAACCTGAAAAGAATCACTTCTCACCAATCTGCAGTACTTCTCCAATATCAAAGCTTGAAGAGAAGCTGAATACAAACGGCATGAATTATCCAAGTCCCAGAGGATCATCAGTTACTAATACTAAGCTTAGTTCAATAAAACAAAATGAGTACCATTTCAAGAAGAGCCTTGCCAACTTGGATTCTCTTAAGGCTCCTGTTGGTAGATGCTCACAAAAAAACACAGATTTGCCACTCCAGTTTTGTAATAGCTGTAGCAATAAAGGTGGAGGAGAAGCTGCTGGTTCCAATGCTCCCCTGAACAATCTTCTTATTCCAGAACTCCTTTTGCCAAAATGTTTTGAAGATGAAAGCCAGAATGAGTCTCCGCGTGAACAAGATATCTCAGACTGTTCTGCAATAGACTCCTTGTTTGGTAAGAATGCATCTTCTAATGATGTTGCAGGAGTGATTGGTGACAAGAGGTTCTGGAAGATGAGAATTTATATGATCAAGTATGTATCCTATCAGTATCTTTTTTTATGCTTCTAGGTTCACAATTAGTGTTTCTTACTTTTTGTTCTTGCTGAAATTTTCAGTCAGCAGAAGATCTTTGCCGCTCAAGTCTTTGAGTTACATAGACTGATAATGGTAAGCTGCTAATAACTAGATTGTTTATATGGAATTATAACTAGACTGGGATCTTATCATTAACCTGAACAAAATGCAGGTTCAAAAGATGGTTTCAAAATCATCAAACTTGGTCCTCAAAAGTAAGCTTAATAATGGTACAATGAGGCCTGTCCATTCCCATCTACCGGAAATAGCTTCTTCAAAGGTTAAGAAACCAATCACTGAGAAGCGCAAAATTGTAACTCAAGAATATCCAGAGCATATGAAACTAAAGCTTCCTCTACCTTCCATAAACAAAGACCTCATGACCCCAATTTGGACACAACAGCCACTTCCTCCTCCTGGAAACCAGTGGTTAGTTCCTGTAATGTCTCCTTCAGAAGGTCTGGTCTATAAACCATACACAGGACTATGTCCTCCTCCTTCTTCAGCTTTCATGGTTCCATTTTATGGACAAGATTCTCTCGACACAACATTCAGGTTCCCTGTCTCTACTCAATTTAACCACAGCTACTTCCCTTCCCCTAACGCGAGGACAACACTTGACCAGACAAACCCATTTGGTCAGCTTCAAAGATGGTCAAACACATCAAGCCACATGACTCAAGCGATTCCATTTTCCTTAAAGAAGTCTGAGGAATCTAATGACAGTGATGTACATGGAAGTACAGCTTCAAGTCCACCAGAGAAGCATAAACTCGACGTGCTTCCCCTTTTCCCTACAGAGCCTACTCATCACACTGATGAGTACGAGAAGACACAGCAACTTGTGCGCCGTGCCATTAAAGTCATTCCTCATAATTCAACATCTGCCTCCGAGTCTGCTGCAAGAATCTTCCGTTCCATTCAAGAAGAAAGGAGGGACTCAAATCATATGATTAGTTAGTTTTGTTTACTACATTAAATGCTTCTTTATCTAGTTTAGATTTTCAGTACATTCTATTTACTCATATGACATAGACACATCTTATACTGATATTGTATTTGACAAACATCAAATAAAAGATAGATTGTTTTTGTTCCATTAATACCAGATAAAATCATCACACCACCTTTCTCCTTTCATGTCTCTTAATCTTGTTTGCTCGAGCTAAGTTGACGAACGTAAGCAGCCACACGCTTCGCCCACTTGACAATATCTTCCTTGAGCTTCTTAGAATCCATACGATTCAAAGACAATGCTTCCTTCTTCTTCTTCCCATCCCTTGATGATGACTCCATGAACGAGAATGACAAGCATCGATAATAACTTGACTTGCGGCTTCCATTGGTCTTTCTCTCCGAAGCCTGTCTCTTTACAGACATGACAGAGATCTCCAAATGAAAACAAAAAAAAGACTAACAATTGTTGAGATGTGACGAGACTTATATAATAGGGGGAGAGAGACGCAGTCACGCAGACAAAAGAAAGATAGTCTTACAAGTTATCACGCCATGTGATGGGTTAAGGTAAAAGAGACGTGTTAGCCAAGTACCATGTTGGTTTCATTGACTTTTGACTTTGTCAACGCATATTCTTCTTCGCTTCTCGTTACTTGGCAAATGGAATCTATCTGTTCCGACTAAAACTTGTAATATGACTTTCCTCTCATCAGTTTTTTTGCAAAACCATTGACCATAACACAAGTAAAGATGTGAAAGCTGCGGTTTTGGGATAAACAATGGAAGGGTCAGGAACCTCTTGATGAACCATGATCCGACCCGGCCACCAAGATACGGCGTCGTGTTAGGATTAACTTCAAACACAAGTGTCGACTGAGAGAATGACTTTTTCACAGAACACTATGAGAACAGAGAATCAGAAACAGAGGAAACAGAGAAATGAAGAATAGTAAAGTTGCAGAGGTAACTTGAGAAAAAAGTAAAGACAGAATAGAGAAATCACACACGAATTTGATAATCCAGTTACACCCGTTAACTAGTGGCGCAGCGTACGAATGGGTGAACGGTCGATCTAAGAATTAGGGTTCTTCGAGACCTGTTCTTGGATCGATCAAGAGTTTCTTTCGATAGCTTCTTGAGACCAACTTCCTGTTTTGATGAATTGAATCGAATCTAAACAAGGTTTAAAGCAAAAGCTCTTTTAATTAAATCAAACGTGTCTAATAAAAAGCTATTAGAGAAGCTTATATAGAGATTTCTTTAGACACAAGTCGTCTAAGAAAAGGAATATGTTTTAAGCTAATTTTCCTAATTTTAAGATAAACATAAGAAAAGTAAAACTTAATAAAAAAAGGAAACTTCAGCACCAAGGAACTAAGTTGCCGCCATTGAAGGAGATGCTCCTGCATCANAAAAAAAGGAAACTTCAGCACCAAGGAACTAAGTTGCCGCCATTGAAGGAGATGCTCCTGCATCAGGTCCCTCGGGGTTTAGAGGATTCGACCACGAATCAGCAGGATCCGCTGGAAGAAACGGATAGAGATACTTGACATTAAAAACATCCGAAGTAGAAATGTCAGGCGGAAGTTCAACGCGATACGCGTTGTCATTAATACGCTCTATAATCTTCAAAGGTCCTATCTTCTTGGCGCGGAGTTTGTTGTAAAGGTGAGAAGGCATACGATCACGAGTCAATACTGCCCATACTAAGTCGCCAGAGTTAAAGACCAAGCGCCGGCGATGAGCATCAGCCGCAGCCTTGTAACGAGATGTAGCCGCAGTCAAGTTTGCAGTTGTCTTCTCATGGACTTCGGCAATATTGTCAACAAAGGTCGATGCATCACCATGGATCCTCGTACGATCAGGGAGTAAAGACAAATCCGAAGGAGCTCGAGGCACAATACCATAAATGACCTGAAAAGGACTAAAACCCGTGCTTCGATTAACAGCATGGTTATGGGCAAACTCAGCTTGGGGAAGACGTTGATCCCAAGTTTTGATTGCATCACCAACCAGACAACGCAATAAATTCCCAAGGGAACGATTAACAACTTCGGTTTGACCATCCGTCTGAGGATGATAAGCAGAACTCATATCCAAACTAGTATTAAGCAACTTCCATAGAGAACGCCAAAAATGACTTAGAAATCTTGAATCCCNGCAAACTCAGCTTGGGGAAGACGTTGATCCCAAGTTTTGATTGCATCACCAACCAGACAACGCAATAAATTCCCAAGGGAACGATTAACAACTTCGGTTTGACCATCCGTCTGAGGATGATAAGCAGAACTCATATCCAAACTAGTATTAAGCAACTTCCATAGAGAACGCCAAAAATGACTTAGAAATCTTGAATCCCTATCGGAAACGATCGAAGAAGGCAAACCATGTAATCGATAGATTTCCCTGAAAAATAAAATCGCTACCTGAACAGCATCGGTGGTCTTCTTGCATGGTATAAAATGAACCATTTTAGAGAAACGATCAACTACCACGAAGATGGAATCAAAACCACGTTGAGTACGAGGGAGACCAAGAACAAAGTCCATACTAATATCAGTCCATGGCTGAGTCGGGATAGGTAAAGGAAGATAGAGTCCCGCATTAGATGCTGAACCCTTAGCTCGCTGACAAACGACGCACCGTTCCACGAAACGAGCCACATCTTTCCGGAGAGAAGGCCAAAAATAAGACGCAGCTACCAACTCAAGTGTTCGATCACGACCCACATGTCCTTCGTTATGTAATTCTGAAATAAGTTGGAGGCGAAGACTTCCCTCGGGTATACAAAGCCTATTACCAAGAAAAAGAAAGCCTTCTTGGATCGTGTACTCCGAAGACAACCCGTTTGCTGCCGAGTGAAAAACGTTGCCAAAGAAGGGATCGCTCTCATACTGGCCTATTAAAGAAGAGAAACCGGGGACTGCTGTATGTAAGACGGTGAGGAGGAGGTGTCGTCGACTGAGTGCATCAGCAACACGATTAGAAGTGCCTGCGGTATGCTTGATGACAAACGTAAACTGTTGTAAGTAAGCAATCCATGAAGCATGACGAGAAGACACCTTTTGTTGGCTATGTAAATGCTTGAGTGCATCATGATCAGTGTATAAGACAAACTCCTTGTGAAATAAATAATGCCGCCAATGTTTGATCGCTTGGACAATAGCATAGAATTCGATATCATAGGTGCTATATCGAGAACGTGCTCCTGCAAGTTTTTCACTAAAGAAAGCAATAGGACGAGACCGTTGACTCAAGACGGCGCCGATCCCTGTTTTGGAAGCATCGGAGTGGAGCTCAAAGACTGAATTGAAGTCCGGTAGAGCAAGTACAGGTGCGGAGCTGAGCTTATCTTTAATGGTAGAAAACGCCAAAGATGCGTCCGATGTCCAAGAGAAGGTATTCGTACGAATACAATCTGTGATAGGAGCCATGAGGCTACTAAACTGAGGAACAAAACGTCGGTAAAACGAAGCAAGACCATGGAAGCTCCGAATTTCGGAGATGGTTGTCGGCTGGGGCCATGATTGAATTGCAGAGACCTTGGATGGATCAACAGCTAAGCCGCGAGAAGACACAATATACCCAAGAAAATGAATCTTTGGTGAGCCGAATTCACATTTCTTAAGGGTTGCATAAAGCTGATCCCGTCGGAGAACAACAAGAACGGCACGCAAGTGTTGTAGGTGATCTTCGACATTCTTGCTAAAAATCAGTATATCATCGAAGTAAACAACAACGAATTTCCCTATAAAAGGACGGAGAGCTTCGTTCATGACTCTCATGAAAGTGCTGGGTGCGTTAGATAAGCCGAACGGCATGACCATCCATTCAAACAATCCTTCCCGAGTTTTGAATGCTGTCTTCCATTCATCCCCTGGACGAATTCGAATCTGATGATATCCACTGCGAAGATCCAGTTTTGAGAAGATAGTAGCAGTTCCAATCTGGTCAAGTAGATCATCAAGGCGTGGTATAGGAAAGCGGTATCGGATCGTGATTTTATTAATAGCGCGACTATCAACGCACATACGCCACGACCCATCTTTCTTTGGGATCAACAGTGCTGGGACAGCACAGGGACTAAGGCTCTCACGCAAGAATCCTTTAGCAACAAGTTCTTCTACTTGGCGTCTTAATTCCTCATGTTCCGAGGGGCTCATACGGTAATGTGAACGATTTGGTAAGGCAGCGTCCGGCATGAGATCAATGCGATGTTGAATGTTGCGAAGAGGAGGTAATTGAGCTGGTAGTTCGGCTGGGAAGACATCGGCGAACTCGGATAACAAGGGTCGATATGGTGAAGGAATCTCCTGTTCAGCTAATGTTGTTGCTGGAACTGCTAGGAGTAGTATTATTTTGTTGGCATTGCGTACTTCCATGTTGAAAGCGGACTTTGTGAGCAGAAGAACCGGATTGGGTGAAGCTTTTGTTGGTGTCGGTTGATCAGAATCCGTTGGAGCCATTGGTTTGAGAGTGAAGGAACGGTCATTGAACCGGAAAGTATAGGTGTTGAGGAACCCATCATGTATGACTCGTCGATCGAATTCCCATGGTCGCCCAAGCAAGAGGTGGCATGCATCCATTGGCACAAGATCACAATATATTTGATCTTTATAAGAGTGTCCCACCGAGAATGGAACAAGAGTGCGACGTGTGACAATCAACTCGTTGCCTTGATGCAACCAACCGAGTTTATATGGAGCAGGATGAGGTTCGATGTCAAGGTTGAGTTTTGGCACTGCTGATTCAGCTATCACGTTTTCACTACTTCCGGAGTCTATAATAAATTTACACACTTTGCCGTTGATAGTACACCTTGAAGAGAACAGATTTTTGCGTTGGGTTTTGTCATCCGGTAGCTTTGGTGAGAGACACGTGCGCCGCATAAGGAGTAAAGTACCTTCGTCTGCTTCAAGTTCTTCGTTGGTGTCATCTTGTGTGTCCGGAGATTCGTCGGAAACAACTTCCACATCGCGACCTGTGGCATCAAGCAGCAGACCGCGTCGGTTGCGAGAGGGACAAGATGATTGACGATGGCCAAGTTCGCCACAAGAAAAACATCGGAGCCCTCCCGGTCGTTGTTGTCTAGCCGGCTCGGTAGGAACAATTGCAGTCTCGGTTTTGGGTGTAGTGTCAGTTATTGTAGAAGAGGATGGAGTTGAAGTTTGACGGGGTTGACGCGTTGAACCCCACGGCTGAAAGTTGTTGCGTGATTGAGCTTCAATGGTTAAGGCATGTTGATGTGCTTCGGATAAAGAACGTGGTTGAAAGAGGTTGATGACAAATTGAATTTGCTGTCGTAAGCCGCTTATGAATCGCATTACAAGTTGCTGTTCGGTGTCACGGAGTTCTACTCGATTGATCATCTTGAAGAAATCCGTTGCGTAGTCATCCACAGTGCGCGACCCTTGTCGTAGGTT